ACTAATAAAATTGTGTTTGTATTGTATAGTACAAGTTAAATTTATTGGGATATACAAAAATACAGTCAAAATTTTTATGAAGATTTTTGTATTGTAAATATAAACTTTTTCAATATTTCACATTTTTCAGGTTTTTTGAGATTTTTGACAAAATGCAATATAAAAATGCTATAACATTATCAAACTTTGTTGCAGAAGAGTTAAATATAGAAAATATCAATTTAATAGAATATCAAAACAAATTAAAAATTTAATAGAACATTATTGTAATTAACAGACTGAATCTTAATAAAAATTGAGTAAAATTAATATTTTCGAATAAATACAAATTCAAAAATAAAAAATAAATATTATATTTTTTTTGAATTATTAATTTAAATCTCGCTTACCTAATTTGAGGTATTAAAAATAATGGATAACATAATTTCAATAAATAAATCCATTTTTACCACCATTTTTATGTTTGTATATGAATTTCTTAGTAGAATTTTAATTTTCAATTACAATAGCAGCCTGCGAAGGAGTAAAGAAAAAATTTATGAAAGTTTGTTACCGTTTGCTTTATTCGTTTTGAAATATCGTGCGATCGGATGAATGGGCGAATGGACGGACATCGTGATTCAACGCAGAATATTACACTGATCAGTACTATATACACGTCCATAGGGGAGATGCCTCTTTCAGATGGTTACAAACTTTATGACAGTTTATCACAATAAAATTCTTTATAGTTTTGACGAACTCGCGCACTTGTCACACTCTATTTTCATTCATCAGATTTTTGTTGAATTCGCAAAATGTGGCAAATTCCCCATAAATATAGGCTTATAAATTTTATTTCCGAACGTAAGGGTTTGTTGAGAATTGTACCTGGAAATTTCTTGATCAAAAAATTGTCAATTTATGTTTGTCAAGTTTATTATTATTTTTTTTTTATTTTAATATAGTATATGTATCTATATTTATATAAATATTTCAGCTACTAAATAGTAATTTACTTATTCATTTATATTAACATTGAAATATTATTTAATTTTTATTTAGTTTTTGATAAATTTTTAATTATTTTTATAAAACATTTCTTTCTCTTTTTTTTGTTTTAGTTTTACATTTTCAATTTATTTGTATTTAATTTTTGGATTTTATAATTTAAATTTAAATTATTATTTTTATATTTATAACATTTTGATTAGGCTAAATTTATTTACAGCATTTTTTTTTTGGTTTTTAATCATAATAATAACAAACATTTTTTATATATATATATATGTTTTTTAAACATATGTTTAAGTAATAAATATGTGTAAGCGAACTTTGTCCGCAAAAATAATATAATAATATTTTAAATATTAAATTGTTATACTTGTATATGTAATTATGTGTTATAATTATATGCTATATTTACATAATATAATGTTATAATTATATAGCAGAGTTCTTTTATATATGTGTTCATATGTATACATACTTATATGTTTATTATAAATCATAAAATTCTTTAAATGAAATTTTAATAATTTTCACAATTGACCACAATTGCAAAAATTTAAAAAATATAAGTTTTTAAAAGAGTTGCACCAAAAATAATAAAATCTGTATTGTTTTCGGGGACAATATTATAAACCGTAGTTTTTACTAAACGAATCACACGTAAGGTGCCATATTTGTTGTTCTATTAGACGTTCCTCTTACAATTTGTCAAAAATTTAGAAATGCTACGTTTCTAGATTTTCACAAAATTTTTTGTTCTTCTATTTAATATTTACATTATTGGCATAACAATTTCTGTTAAGCCAATACTGTTAAGTTACGTTTCGCGTTTAGTGGAACTATAAAAGATAAAACGTCCTCATCTACTTGACGCGTCCAGTGAATAGAGAAAAATAATACAAAATTTTGCGAATTTTTTATATTACGTCATAAAATAAAATTAAATTATTATTATTTGCGAGTAGAATAATATTATTAAAATATTAATTTCTTAGATCTCAGGCCAAATTCTTCATTTAAGGATTTTTTTGATTAGAGTCTTTGAAATATGTACGTATATATCATGTTTTTTTTTAATAATTAAAAATCCTTAATTTTATATTCGATTTTATGCTATTCTTTTTTTTGGATATTCTATATATTAAGGTGTAGTTTTTATTTTTATTTTAGTTTTTAATGATTTATGTACGAGTATAATCAATTATTTTTTTTTTATCAACTAATTTATTTAAAAGAACTCCTAAAGTATACCTATTTCTATTCCTATAGTAGGCATATATATATATGTATGTGTTTATATACAAATACCGAAATATGATTAAATAAAATATTTAATATTATTTAAACTTAAAATAATTTTTGTTTTTTATTTTGGCACAGTATCAAAGTGAAATTTTCTAAAGGAAAATTGAAAAGATAAGTAGGTTTATTACGTTCAGCGAATTTGCCAAGCTAATCGAATGCTCTAGAGAAATTGAGAGAAAGATATTGGAGAATTTGCTAACATTATGGTATTTTATGTGTAGTGAATTGACCTTTTGCCTGTCTTTTACGCAATGACAGCTTGGGAGTTTTTACTCAACGATAGCATTAAAATTATTTTATTGCATAAAATTTTGTTTTCTTTAAGCAAATTCAAGTTTTAGCCACATTATATATTTATTTGCAAGATTTTATCCCGATTTCGTAAAGAAATCTGACGAATTCGTTATTCTCGTTATTCATAATAACAAACCGTTATATTTATCAATTTTCTTGGCGAATTCCCCGCATGTAATAAGATGAACTATTATTGTTTAGGCGTTCATTATTTGAATTTTTTTAGAGATTATAATCTCCAAATTTAGACTTTCTTTTTAATATAAGGCTAAGTGATTATTTTAATTTATATAATTAAATTTTTGACAAAAAAAAATTAAATAAAAGATATATAAAGAAAAAATAATTAATTACGTGTGTGTACGTGTGTGTATTTTAGTTTCAAAAAATATTTTATTGTTTCTCGAACGGCAATTGAAACCTAGTACGATTTCGTTTTTATTTTAGATCATAGATTAAATAAATTTTAATTAATGTTAGTTTGACATTAAAAATTAAATATACCAGACATATAATTTTATATATAACAAATAAGTTCTTTTTCATTTTATTTTATATTTATCATTTTTGATTTTTTAAAAGTTTTCGAACAAAATATTGCTGAATACTGAAATTATTTATGAACTATTCAATATTTTTATTCATTTAACTATTTTATTTCGTGGGCCTTTTTAAAAAATAGGTTGAGTTGTTATTTTGTACAAATTTATTAAAACATTTTGTGTTAACTTGTAAATAATTTATTTAACATATTGATAATTTAGTTAATTTAAAAAAAAATAATAATAATTATTTTTACTCTATTCAATTTTGTTTTTTCTGTAATACAATTATTAAAATTAAGAAATTAAGTTTACGAAAATATTTATTTTTATCCATTTTTATTTCCATTGAAATTAAATGGTCGAAAATATTTTGGTATTTGCAAATTTTAATTTTTAATTCCATAATAAAATTGAATTTCGTAAAATTGAAATCCAGCTCTGCAAGACGTACGCGTCATAAATTCCAATATACGTTGACAACGCAACTGATTATTACTTTAGCGTTTTCTTGCATTTATTTAAGGGCTGATGCACAAGTGGTTTTTCCACTTTATTGTAAAAGTTTTTAAAATGTGAATTACGAAAATTTCCCAATTGCAGATAATTGTCACTTGTAAAATCAAGCGAATGATATGATAAAGATATGATCGTCAAATCTTTGACATACTGGAAAACGGCAATGCATATAATGTGATCACGATTAAAAAATAATCGAACCAATAAGATAAATATGCTAAGAAAATTAAAAAAAATTCAAAAGTTCTTCAAATAATTCTTAATTTTGTTTTAACACAAAAATATTTATTACTTGATAATTACTGTAGAATAGAATATAAAATTGTTGATTACACAAAATTTAATTTATGACAAAAATTTGTTTAAACAAGTCTTTTTACTTTTCTAGAGATTTTTTTTTCACACACAGAAATTAGATTTCTCTTCGAGGAATTTAACAAAAAAAAATGTTAGTTTTTCTTAAAAAAATGTCAACAAACCGACTACATACAAAGTTCTTTCAAAATTTTATGAAAATAATTTTTTTTCTTTAATTATTCCATTATACTTGAAATGTGAAAAGTTTAATATCGTAATTTTTCAATGAAACAATTCGTTAAGGGAAAAATTTAAATTTCTTATTTGCAAATTTTGAATTGCAAGTAATTAATCTTCACAGTAGCTTTTATACTACAATTTGAATACAATCGGAAATAAAGGCGCGCCGCCGCTGTTATAAGATTCACAAATATTACAATGACAAAGAATTAAATCAAATATTTCAGATTATAGAGTAAGAGCCAAAATTAATTTGAAACAGTGAAGTTTACCATAAAATATTGGTTAGAACTTTTGAACTTCGAACTTTTCTTTAGATATTTTAAGGTTAATTTTGCAATATTAAATTTTTTAAGAATTATATAAAATTATTTGATTTTTAAAAATTATTACTTTATTATCAGACAGTTTATTTTTGGAAAGAGAGTTACAATTTGTATATTTATATTTAATTGTATATATATATATATATATATATATATACTTATAGCTTTATTTTAATGTAATGTTAGTTTTATCGGCACCGATTCGAGAATTTTTTATGGTAGAGAAAAAGAATAATTTTAATACTTTATTATTTATACAATATAATTATAATTATAATAATTTTTATGATTAACACTGAAAAGCAATTTATTTATAAACAAAATAATGCTGATTACATATCATTATGATCATATAACAATTAACTAATAGGACTAATATTATTATTATAATAATATAAAATAAAAACTATAAAAATGAAATTTTTAACATTATTGAAAATAATATTATTTGAATAATTGATTGTTTCTTAAAATATAAAAAATATTTTTTATCTATTTCAAATAACATAAATCTATTTTGATTTACTGTTATATTTGATAATGATAAAAATAATAATGATGATGCAACTATTAATAATGATAATAATAATAATGATATAAGAGGTATGGCAAACCATAAAAATCTGAACGATGACAACAATTTGGATATATCTGAAAATTTATACACTCCTAATAATATAGTTGGTATTGATGATATTAATGAACATAATGACATCATTTGTAATAATAAATATGCCCTTAATTCAATTTCATTAAGTATCCATTTGAATTTTCTTGTTGCTTGAAATATTAACGAATTCGAATATAATGATGTTGATCCAGAATTACTGGAACTATGACGAAAATCAGTGTCACCACGATGTGATCCTTTATGTACACGATTTTTATCTCTTGTATAACTTTCATCGAGTAGATTTCCGTTGTCAATTTCATCAACATTTTCCTAGGGTATCAAAACGAAAAAATTACTATAAAATGGGAAAATTTTTTTTTTAAATTATTTAAAATGTTTAAAACACGTTATTCGTGACTTGTAGAAAAAAATAAATTTGAGAATATTGTTCCTTTTAAACGTTCCTTTAAAATGTATAATTAAATTAAGTTGCGAGAGTTATTCGAGAAATTATATATACTTAAAAGTAACACACTTTATGACTATAATAGAAAGATATTTAAGAGACTTACAAAACTATGATCATCTTCATCTCCATTTGATTTTTTTCTTCCTGGAACTTCCATTTCTAAAATTTAAATAAAAAAAATAATTCAAAGACTTCTAAAAATACAATATATACCAAATTTTTTAAATCTTACCATATAATCTAATAGTACCCTCAGTATCGCCTATACTATTTTTAGAAATGCATTTGTACCCACCAAAATCAGTTTTTTGTAATCTTTTTATTTGTAATGTCATTTCAGCGGCATACATTGATATATCTTTTTCATCTATAATATATCTTTCGCCTGGTATTATCATTTCACCTGAAATTAAATTTATTGTTGTTGAAAATTGACACCTCATTATAAGTAAAAGAACGGCAAGTGGAGATATATAGAATAATAAAAAGTGATATGACTAAGAGTTTATGAAAATACCACAGATGAAAATACATTTAGTTTAAACAAGAATGCCCTATACAGATAAGTAGTTACGGCTTTCTAAGAACAAAATAAGTGCAGTTGTACACTTCTAACAAATAAAAAAAAATCGGATGTGGTTAGCACCGTACCGTTTACTGTCTAGTTTTGTGAAAGTATTATAGAAGATTGGAAAATTCCTTTTAAACACTTTCATATCTAGTAAAATGTAAATTTGGCTCTTAGTAGAGTTTCGCTTTGTGCTATTCGAATTCCCTGAAAAGTTCGCCAGTTAAGTTCGGTAACTACAGTTACTTTTTACAAAAATCCATCAATTAGTTCCATAGATATGTAAACAAAGAAAAATTGTCCTCTAGTTCGATTTCCGAGCCCGGACGCTTCCGAAAAATTTATATGTTCATTGCTCTAACACCCCAAATATAAATATGAAATTTAAAAAAAATCGGTTGAATATTTCTCTTTACGTGTTGAAAAATATAAAACCAGCCCGCGAAAAGGTCCAGTTCCCGAGGTCTAATATATCCCAAAATTTGATCAATCCGTGACGGACAGACAGGCGGATAGACCGACATCTCTCTAAAAATAGTTTATTTACGCTTCTCTACAAGGGACAAGTGCGATCTCACCGAAAATTAGACATTCGAAATTTGATGTCATTACATAACCTCCCTTATTGTACGCAATGCGGTTAAAACGGTTGTATTTCAGAAATAGGATATTTTTAACTGCAGTTCTAAAATTTTTTTTTGAGTTTGTATGTGCACCTGTAACTCCTGCTTTTCATTTGCAGTTACAGTTGCAAGAGGCTTCCTAGGCTATGTAATTGTTCTTTTCAAAAACCACAGGTATTATTGCAATATTAGTTTAAAATATTTAGAAATTTTTATACTAAATCATTATTATAATTGTATTACACTCGTATATGCATAGGCCTTATACGTACATTGTACATATGAAACATTGAGTTAAAAGGAAACTCATATTTTATTAAACGGCAAACTGTTCAAAAATCCTAATAAAATAATTAATGAAAATTAAATGTGTGACAAACAGAATAATTACGATTTTTCATTAATGCATTATCATTAAAATACAAACTTACATAACGAAAATTTAGCCAATGATCAAACAAAAAATATAAATTTACATTTTTATAAAAATAAGAAAAATACGTACGATACTGACCATTCTCCCTTTGCCAGTAATTAATTGCTTTTGGTGATGCTTCTACATTACAAATTAAAGTAACATCTGTCCCTACTGGAGCACCGACTAATTGATTTGGCACTTGTACTAGTGGATGAACTAAAAGTAAAAAAATACTTTCATATCAGATAGTTACATAAAAAAATAACATTTGTTTTTTGAATTTTTTAGGTATTTAGAAAGAAACGATTGTGCAATTAATCCCAAAGTGTTTAATTTTAACATAAACTAAATCATATGAGAGTTATTTACAATGAACTTGTAGTTTCATCCTTTTACTGACGGATGGAGGAACCCCATTAGATGCTATACACAAATAAGCTCCCATTTCCGATCTTGTAACTTTTGATAGCCACAACATTTCACCTTCGACTGCAAGAGCTGTAATTATAACAAAGTTAAATATATTTAAATATTATAATTATAGTTTTATTAGTTCAAATAACATTTTTGTTTTCTTTGTTGAACTTTACTTAATTTTAAATGCCTACAATTCTATGTTATGGAAAAAACTATTGGTAAGAACATATCACTCGGTAGAATTTTGGTTTTAATGAATTTAAAACCAAAAGAACTGGTGATTGGAAATTTCAATGAATCTAATAAGTATTTTTGGCGATTCTAAAGGTGAGACATGATAAACCTTTTATAAAACATATGGAAAGTATTGACAGCTGTAAAGCCAATATGTTTCAAGAGAGTCGTTTTAAGCGACCATGCAAACGTCGTTGATATGCCACAATCCCTGATTTAAGGAGTGGATAACTGCCGCATGTTAGTAAACCATCTATGGTTAATTATTTTAATTTGTTTATAACTGAGGAAATTAATGAATTTAGCTTATACCGAGTTATGCAATTGCTTTTTACGCTGATGGCTAGAAATTGAACATAAGAAAATCATGAGACAGGGAATATAAATTTCAAAAGATTTCGTGAGTCGATGGAGCTTCGGCTTATAGTGAGATCTCCTGCACTCCAAAATAATTACTCTACTTTTTTGAACAAAAATTCAAAAAAAGCAGAGCAATTCCTTAAAAGGAAAAATATGCCAAAAGAGATAAACATATATTAAAAAAGAGAGTTAAAAATTATGTCATAATATTGTTTTACAATAGTTAAGATTTTTGAATTGCATTTCGAGTAATTGGGTAAATTGGAAGACTTGATCTTAATGACCTTAAACATATAACTTTATTGGTTTTATACCTTTTGTTTTTCCATGTGGACCATTACGAGCTATTATTTCTCTGCCGTCTTCCCTCCTCCACGTAATTTTTGGTGTTGGAAACCCTCTTGCTTTGCAAATCATTTTCGCTGAACCACCTTCTGGAACCATCATGTCCCCGGATGTTTCTTCATTTATTATGTCTGGTGGTATAACTACTTGTAAATAAGCCGTCTTCGTGAATAACGAGTATTTTCAGTGATGAAGAAGAAAAACAAAATATCGAATATCGTAATGAATAAATAAAAAATTTAATAATTTGAATTTTTTTTTTACAATTTTTTTATGAAAATAAAATGTCCATAAAAGAGTACAATGTTATTTCAATGCAAACTAAATCCTAAAAATATTTAACCTTTAATAGATCACCTTTATCCATTAAAACTTTAATAGATAAATATTTAACCTTTAATCTTTGTATCTGTATAATAAGGTAGTAATTGTGAGCGTTATTGTAATTCATTACTATTTTCAATACACACAATTTCTCCGAGTAGGCGCCTAAATTCTCCTTTTATAAAAATATATTCTGTTTGTGTCCACTTTGTTAGTGTGTTTCACTGTACACTAGATTTCACCTGAATGGATTCAGTTGCTACATGATGACTTCATCGGATCGATGGAAATGTTCTATAATCGTGTAAGTCCTATCTGACAATATGACAAGTATGTTACTTTTTCGAAATAGAATTCTAAGTTAATTTTACCATATGGAGACTTGGAATCTATCACAGATACTTTGAGCTAATATAGCTAAATAACATATCTTATTTATTTATTTATTTATTTATTTCAGTATGTCTGAAGAGAATACAAATTTATTCTCATATAAAGACTATATAACAAAAATGATTTTTTTTTTTTTTTTTTTTTTTTTTTTTTTTCTTTTTTTAACAAAAAGTAAGTATATATAAATCAAATTAGTATGAGTTTAATAAAGTAAGTGTTATATGCAATAAAATAAAAAAAAAAAAAAAAAAAATTTGGATTCAATTTTAATAGTTAGATGACATTGAATATAAAGCAAAAACAATATTCGTAGTATAGTACAAAGTAAATTTTAAAATTCAAAAAAGAGAAAAGAAAAAGAAAATTAGAAATAAAATATCGCTGAAAATTTTTCGAAATTTTGAATAAGCAGTATTTTACTTTAATGGGAGAAAGTTGTAGTTTATATGAGAGTAACGTATGTGTTGGTTGGAATATTGGTTCAATTCTTATGCGATTATTTTTTTGCGAATTTTAATTTTGAAATTGTTTTAAATTTATTCTGGTAATTATTATTTTACAATGAACAGTATTTCGTGCCTCTAAGATAATAATTGTTTATTAAAAGCGAATATTCACTTGCAAAAATGTTGTTTATTTTAACTTTTTTTCCAATTTTTAGCAATTCTCTTTTACACTCATTTAATTACCATTTGTTATCAGAACTGTTACCTTAGTTAACTATGTTGGAAATTGAAATGACTCAATTTTTTCTAAAATTATTTTAACTATTATTTGAATCTGAAAATCATTTAATTTAACCTATTTTAATTATTAAAGAAAACAAAAAAAAATTGTTTTAATGAAAATTATAAGGTTAAAAAAATTCCACTAATTAGTTTTTATAACGTGGTTGGATTATTTCAGAAAAAAAGTAGTCATAATATGTAAATTCGCAGATTGAGAAACCAGGGTGATCACATAAAATTTAAAATTATTAAGTTTATAATTCTATAGAAGTAACAAGGTCTTATATGGGAATGAATTTCAATTGCGCATATAGGAAAATATATTCAAGGGTTCTCGAAATAAAAGGATTTCAACGAAGTGTCACGAAAGCTCACTATTTCCTTCGGGGTTATTAGCCCTGTCGACCATTTGTAAAGATAGAAATGTAATAGTCTTCCTTTGTACAAAAGTATACCCACATGCCTAAATGGGTTAATATTTTACATTACTGTGAATTTTTCGATCGGTTGCTATTTTAATATTACTCAAAAGTATTCCCCTAAATTTATGCAAAATCATACAGTAATGAAAAGTCATGAGTTCAAAAGTTAATATGAGCTCCAATCTTAAATTGTTGAAGTAAAATATCCTTTTGAACAAATAACGAATTTAAAGATTGTATTAAGGTTTCTATCAATTTTTTTTTAAGACTTGGACAAGTATATAAGTATTTAATACACAATTATATGTCATCGTAAAAACCACTGTCATTTGACACTTTAATGCCAACATTTTATAGTAAAAATACTTGTCATTTGTCAAATAAGTATACCTCGAATTTTAATAAGTTTTAAAAAAGAAGAACAAAGAGAAGTGTTAATTTTCGTAAAAGCGAAGCACGTAATTTGAAAACTGAATTTTTCGATATTCTTTTCTTATTTTCTTTTTCCTAGGAATATTCTGAGATTAATTTTTTTTTAATTTCCAATAAATTTAAATTCGAACAAAATTTTAACAATACTAGGTAAAGAATTTTTAATTGGATGATTTAATGGAATAGAACGAAAAAAAACATACGTTGAAATCTTAAAATAATTTAGATAACTAATTAAATGCAGATCTAATATCATTTGACATTTTGCACAGATATCGTTCTTCGAATACATTTTATCGCGCATTATAAATCTATAGCCTCGACATCATAAAATTATAAATAATATTACAAATAATATTTACAATATGATATTGTAAAATTTTCAAATTTTCTACAAATATTTTATATTAAGTCAACATTTCAAAATAAAATTAAAAATTTACAATACTTATATAAATATGTATTTCAATTTTTTTATATATGTATATATAAATATATCAGGTATTATATAATTATAATTACTTGCATCTTCATAGGATCAGTATTAACTTGACACATATATTGGCCAGCATCTTCCATTCGAACATTTCTAATTAATAACGTCCAAGTATTATAATCATTATGGGTAACTGTTAAACGATCAGCACTTGATATAACATGCTCATGTATTGCAAGTATAGCTTTTGCATCAGCTTTAATCCATGCTACCTATATTTTATATTCATATACACGTACACATTCATATATTTTATACGCAAGTTTTATACAATTCCAAAATTTAATATCACGCATTGTACAAGCGTTTATAATATTTAAGAATTTTTTTTTTTATTTAATAATTTAAATTATATTGAGTTGTAATTGATTTTTTTTTCATTTTATTGCAAATATTTAATTTAATATTTATATACAAAATACATATATATATATTATAACGGTATGTTTACATATTCATTAATGTTACAACGTAGTAAGATTTTGATTTCCGTTTCCGTTAGATTGAATGAACAAATATTTTATATACGATGAATTTCGTTATAATATACACATGTATGTATATGTGTAGTAATTTAATATGAAATGGTATATGTAATTAATATAATATAATGTAGTTATAATAAGCGCGTATGTTTCAGATTTGATTTTTATTGTGGTAATTAAATTTTATTTTTTTATTTTATTTTGTAAACAAAAATTAATTTATTGTTTATTATAATTATTATTATTATTTTTTTGTATATTATTTTTGAACGTTATTTTATTTGAGAAAATAAATATGTATACGTTATACATTTTATAATAAATTTTCAAATTATTATGTTTAGGATGCATTTTTTTTTTAGTTTTTGTGTTCATGAAAATTTAAAGATTTAATTTTATATATGGAAGTAATTGAATTTATTCAATTTTAAAATTAAATTCACGCAAATGGTTTTATAAAATAAGAGGATTCAATTTAAAGTCCAATATTCATTCATTCATGCATTTAATATTCAATTTGTTTTCATTATTATTTAAACAATAATTTAATTATATATTTGAAGCAATATTTTTTAAGTAATAAGTCATAAATAATATAATTAATTATCAATTTAAAATTTTTACCCCACAAAATCCACCATTATAAAATTGAGTTATTTGTATTGTGAACATATTATAAGTGTAGTTGGAATAACGGTAAATTATTTTTTTTTTAATATTAAAATTCAATTTATTTGATTTTTTTAATTATTTATTTATTTTTTTTGTTTATTATTTTATTAAGATTAAAACAGGTTTCACGAGTTTTTTATTTAATTTTTTTATTATAGATTGTGAATATGAACAAATTATTTAAGCAGTAAATATTAAAATTTTAAATAAATAATTGAAATGTAAATGTCATCCGATTATATTATGTTTTTACATACATCAATATATATGTATATGTATATATAATGAATATATTTGTGTATATTTATTATTATTTTGTACATAGGTATATGCGTATTTAATGTTGATTTTTTTCGTATATTATTGAAGATAATTGTAAAATAATTATGATCCAATGAAATATGATGAAACAGGAAAAAAATATATTTTTTTTTTATGTGATTTGGTATTGCAGAAAATTCATCGAATTAGAATTAATGCATATATAAATATTTTCATCGTTAAAGTTGAAACCATCCAGGATAATTGATTTGATTTTGATGCGGTTTAATTTCATTACGGTGGGTTTTATTTTCGATTTTAGATTCGTTTTTTTTTGTTATTTTGTTTTATTGGTTTTGGTTTGAGTTAATTATTATGAGAATTGAATTGAAATACAACAACAAAAAAAAAAAAAACATTTTTTTTAATATATTTCATTTTTTAGTTAAATAATATTTTAATTTAATTTTTTTTTCTCAAATATTAAAATAATTTAAATTTATTAACAAAAATTTTGATGATAATTTAATTTTTAGGAATATTTTCTAAATATTCAAAACTTAAATTAAAATAATCAAATGATTAATTATTTTTTTTTTTATTAAAAATTTTAATTACATTTTATACTTAATATTTTAAATGAAATATTAAGTATATTTAAAATAATTATCTTCAAATCAAAAATTTTCAATTGGGCCATCTACAGTTTCTTATTTTTATATTAAATGAGCTTAAAGAATTTTAAAGCAATTAAACAACATTGAAAGAATTCTCGGAACTAATTCTTGCATGGTTGTCCGACCGACTGAGGGCCGGTTTATAAAACTTCCACCACCTTTAACATAGACAGTTGAAACTTAACATACAAATAAATTTTTAGTAGAAACTTATTTGCGTATTGAAGAAAATTTTTACCTATCTCTCCCTTCCACTTTAAAAGTAACAGTTCCAAAAAACGCTACAAATGTTATTTTTGATTATTTGATCAAGGAAACCATAAACATTTTTCAAATTGTGCAAACGCGGAAAAGTATAATTAAATATTAAAAAAACGGAATAGACGTTGAAATGAACAAATTTTTTAAATATTAATAAATATCTCGTTAGAACAAAATTTTTTTCCACTTTCAACCCCTTTCAAGTTAGTAATTTTTAACATTACAATATTTTTACTTAATAATGATCTAAAATGTAAATAATGCTCGAAGTACATACTCGTAACAACTTACTTCTAAAAATTATTCCGTTTGTATTAATTCTAGCCAACTTTTATATAAAGTTACATAAGTAGGAGTCACACAATCAAACACACATTTATTTTCATTTTTAAGGATAAATATAAAAATGTATAAATATTATAATTCTATACAAGACTACATAAATAAATGTATACACGAAGTGTATAAAAGTATGTCTATGTATATATACGAAGCGAAGTACAAATATACGAGCATTTACGAAGAAATGTATAATTCAATACGAAGAAATATACGAATTTATACGATAATATTTATCGTAATATGAAAATACGATTATTCGTTTTAAACAATTTTTCGAATGTTCTTAAAATAATTAAAAATTTTTTTATTTTTAAATTAACTTTTCTTTTAAATTATAAAATTTAATTTCTGAATAAACAAACTGTAGACTTGCCGTTTAATAAAACAATTTTTTGATTAATGAAGATGATAATTTTTTTTTATATATCAAATTATTTTACATAAATATATTTAAAAAGAAAAAGAACAATAATATAATTCAAGTATAAAATAAAGAAACAAAAAAAATAATAGATAAATTAGAGAAAAATAGAAATGAAAAAAGATTTGTAAATGAAACAAATGAAAAATTACAAAACAATAAAATTTTTTTTTTAAATATTTTTTTTATATATGTATATAATCAACACATGCAAAAGGGTGCAATTTACTGTTTCGGTTTTTTTCTATACAATTTAGCGGTGCTATAGATAGACAAAAACAACTTTTGGTGCAATTTAAAAAAGAAACGGTGCAGTTTTATAGTTGCTATGTGCAATTTTAGTACAAATATACACATACTTATTAATATACAATTTAATTGGTTTTTTTTTTTTTGTTTGTAATAGTAGAAAAAAAGTTTTATTTATGTAATTTTTTTATTTTAATTTTTAAATATTAAAAAAAAGTTTTCACATTTATTATTACATAATATTTAAATTTTTTTATATACATGTGTATGTAGGTATGTGTGCATAAATAAAAAAAAAGAATAAATTTTTTTTTTAAATTGCAAGTGTTGGGTTTTTTTTTTCATCTAAAAAAAAAAAACTTTTCATTTTCAACTTAAAGTTTCTCATTACGTATCAATTTCAATCAAAAATAAAATTTAACTTTATTTTCATGTATGTATGTTTGTATGTAAATGAGTTCAGATGCAGATGAGGAGATGGTAAGATATCAACGTCGAATAATTAAAAATGTTGAAAGTCAATTTTTCTAGCTTCCAACTATTTAGAAATTATTGAATTCGCAGAAAGTTTGTTCATTATTTTACCAATTTTCGAGAGGACAATTCGAAAATACAGAAATACACAGCTTTCTTAGTTGCTGGTTTTCAGTTACCTTCCGTCCTAAGTTGTCGAATTCCTGTGACTGTATATTGAAGACATGTGCTCATACATTAGTGTATCTTGGAATTTCATTAAATTTTTTAGTGATCTTATTGTTTAATTTATTACCTAGTTTAATTTCATTGGATTTGATTTGGGGGTCACCCTATATTTGATTTTAATAAAACGTTAAAATTGACGTATTTGAAAAATTTGTATGTTTTTTGTGGTTAAAATTGCATTTCATTGAAAAAGGATTAATTTTATGAATTTGATTTCTTTTTACACTTCAAAATTTTAGCAGTCTAGAAAAAATGATTTTATATACTTTATAAATAATAATTGGATTGTTTGTAAAAATGTTATGCGATTCAATATTTTAATATTTTTAAAATATAAAATATATGCTAATGTAAGTTCTATAACTGAGTGGAAATTTCCATCAGTTTATTGATAATTTTTAATTTGTAGGCTGTAAAAGTAGGTTTTACTCTTTATATGTTAAGAGCATAACATTTTTTTTTTATTTAAAATTAGAAAAACTTTAAATTGATACTTATACAGTTATATAATAATGGAACATACATACATACATACATACACATGTATTGTTTTTTATTTTATTATGTAAAAAAAATTTATTTATTTGTTTTATTTTCTATAAGGGTCAATTTAGATTTCAGATTAACTATATGTCACTTAAGGGTATGTAATAATATTGCGCTCTTTAAATGACAGATATGCAATTTTGCAAATAACACATATGTATTTATATATATATACTATAAAAAATTTGATTGATGACGTATTATGACTAAAATAATCAAATCAATAATTTTTATTGCATCCATCATAATTATTATACACAGTTATTGAAGACTTCATAATAATTTACTCTCATATATTATTTGGAAAGGTTATAAATAATTAATTAAAATAACAAAAAAAAATGAAGTTTAATTCGTTTCGTTTTTAAAAAAATAAATCGAAAATAATATTTAAATTTTAAGAGTTTTATCGTTTTAAAAGGTATGGAACTTACTTATTCAGAACCGAATTTTTTAATACTTGCTCCAATGTTGTACACCAATTTTATTACGTAAATGACGAATTTGCTTGAAGTCATGAAGAATTTTAAACTCTTAAGTCATAAGACTCTTAAACAACTTTTAGAAAAAAAATCAATCATAAGTTTTGATGTTTTCAATTTAATTTTAAATTTTTCGTCCTTTCTGCGTTTGTTTTCTTATTTAAAAGTGAAGCAGTAAATCTTTTTTTTCTTTTGGTTCAGAAACCTTCCGCGTTCTTAGACGTCTAGGAATCTGGACATTCTGGTTGGCACACTGGATGGTATAAATAATGCTTTCAATTGGCAGTACTTATTACAACAGGAAAAATTAACAAGGTACCTGTTTTACTAAAACTTTCATAAGGTTTACCTGGCAGATGTGATGAGGTAAAAAATGTATCGAAGGTCTCCTGAAAGAATTTTTGTGGATCGAGTGAAGGCAACTTAAGGAGATCTTAAGGTCTATAAATGATTACGAAAAATCCGGAACCTATTTCATTTCACAACTGAACACATAGAAGGGATTATACTTGAAACTTAAAAAAATAATTACATTGATAAGTTTTACAGTGTTGGCACATCAGTGGACCCACATGATATATTGTATTATTATTATGTATATAATAATATAATTTGTATATATAATATAATATGTCCCATTTTCTTAAAAATTAATTTTTTATGAATGGCAACCCTGGTTGAGACTGCTGTAACAAGTAGAAAGCGGAGATTCTCTTGAACATGTCTGTACTAGTTGGATGATGAAAAAATAAACTAGTTTGGTGTTTATATTTTCTACCGGAAGTATAGAAAAGTAATCAACGTGCGTGTCTTTACTCGTTTTTAAAAAATTTGGATTGGCTTGAAAGAGCAAAGGGATAATCAGTGCAACTGGTGCAATAAAGGAGCAATTTAGCTCATATGGTATTGTTGCAGAGGAAACAATGCTTCGGGATTTTATCGAAAAATATTTTTGAATCAGATTTCAGAATTATATAGGTACATATAATCTTAATCCTTTATATTTGTATTGTTTAATTAATTAATTTTAAGTAACATGAACTTCTTTTTTTTTTAATTTTTGTATATTAAAATAAATCAAAAACGTAAAATAGATGTAAAAAATAAGGAAAGAATTTCATTTAAAATTTTTTTAATAGAATTTGAAAATTATAAATAATTAAAATAAGATTAACTAAAATAAAAACCTTACTAAATTATAATTTTATAAGCTCTATTATATGATCCTTCAGTATGTTATACAAAATTTATTAATTAACTGTTAACCAGTTATTTATTTCTTACCTCGTATTGTTCCAAGTTTATCTGAAACGCAATTGGTTTTTGAAGTGTTTTTAGTTTAATTTTTTCTTTATTTTTTTTATTTTTTCATATAATATAAAAATAATTTTCTTTAATTTTTTTTTATCTTTTATATTTTAATTAGAATAAAGAATTTTGTAAAATCTAAATATAAAAATTTACATATCTGTCATTCTAAATTTGAGCATTTCATAAAAATTTTTGTATTATTTAATTTATACAAAATACAGTGTAATTATTTAATTTGGAATTAAATAATTTTTGTTTTTTTTTTTGTAATTTACGAAGTTTTTAACATTATTTTTATTATTTTATATTTAATATTTTGCAAGATTTATGTTTTTTTTTTTCAAATATATATTATATTAGTATATAATAAAGTATAGAATATTATAAATATATGTATATATTTATATATATATATAAAAGAGGTGCAAAGGAAAACATTGAATTACGGTGCATCATAAATATTTTGTGAAAATTGAGGTGCGTTAAATTAAATTAAACAAATACATATGTGTATATATATATATAAAAGAGAAACACAAAATATATATAGTGATTTTTTGTTTAAATATAAATATTATATTTTAATATATATAGTAACAGTATATATATATAAGTATAGGTGCTTTCATTCCGGTGCATCCAAAGTGTGAATACATCAGCATTAAAAATTTAAAGCAAAGAATTTTTTAGTTTTTTTTTTATTATTATTTAAATGATAATATATATAATAGGTTTATGTTATGTATATATATATTGAAATACAAAAAAAAATATTTTTGCACATATATATCAATATATATATAAAATTTATATTTTATATTTATAAGAATTATTGTGTGAATATATTAGAAATATAAAAAGTGCTTTAGGTATACAAATAATATGTGCAAATTTACTAAAATTTTGATATTTTATAAATGATTTGTTTTTTTTTGAAATATTTTTATATTTTGATTTTGTTTTCTTTTTTTTTTTGATTTAATGATTAAAATTGATCATTTTCTATATTGTTTGAAAAACCGATACATACCCTTTGCTGTGCTGATCCCCCACTCACCCTATGACCTCCTAAATTGTTAACAACACATGTGAAAGTAGCGTCTCGTCCTTGTGCCACAGTCACATTTTCCAATGGGAAAACAAAATCTGGTTCAAATGCTGCTACTAAAAATATAGTTAAATAATATCAAAAATAATCATAATGCATCAATTATTTCATTTAGTTTTTTTTAAATTCAAATTATTTGCTTTTAAATAAATATATCCATTCACATATGCTTTTGCACATTTATGTATATTTAAATTAGCATATTATATACTTTAAATTTTAATAATGTAATTCTATTAAGTATGTATAAGCACAAAAATTATTTTTTTTAATGTTTATTATAATATTGGATTCAATGATTTTTAATAAGTAAATTATAAAATAAAACTTTTAATATTTAATAATATATTCATACTATAGTCATACATTCTATTTCAAATAAGGGGTATAAGTACTTTTTTGAAGGAACTTTCCAAATTTTAGGGCTTTAGTGAGTTTTTATTTAAAATACCTAGAAAATGTAAATTTGGCTCTTAGTAGAGTTTCGCTTCGTGCCATCCGAATTCCCTGAAGCTCGCCAGTTAATTTCAGTAACAACCAGAGCTCAAATATGAAAGTTTAAGAAATTCCATCAATCCGTTCCGTAGATATGGTAAAAATGAGCCCAGTTTGGTTTCCGAGCCCCTATCGTTCCAAAACATTTTTATGTTCATTGTTTTAATACTCCAAATTTAAATTATTAAATTTCAAAGAAATTAGTTGATTATTTCTCTTTCTATGGGTAAAAATCTAAAATTGGCCCGCAAAAAGGTTCAATTCCCAAGGCCTGATATATCCCAAAAATTGATCAATCTGTCACATAGTCAGAACAAACACACATATAAAATTTCACGAAAATCGGTTTAGACGAACTTTAGCATGAGATACACACATGCATATGCAGACAGGCAGACTGACAGACCGGCAGACCGACACCTCCCTAAAAATAGTTTATTTACGCTTCCGTAGAATGGAGAAATTTGCTGCCATCACATATCCTCCCCTATTGTATGTAAAGTGTTCGGTAAACATGTAGTGATACAAAACCTTTATTAAAATAAAGATGAGTTTTTGATAGCATAACAACCTTTAAATTCGAGTTTATTCTCAGTATCGAAACACTAAATAATTCTGATAATTATTGTGAAAAGTTCGATATTACTATTGTAACCAAAAGCTTTTATAAATAAAGTTTTTAAAGCTTTTACGATAAGTATTACTACCACTTCTCGATACTCAGAATAAGCCACTTTATTTTTGAAAATATATTTCGAAAATACATTATAATACTTTCAATAGATCGTGAATTTTATTTTACTTTAATTTATTTTTTGTCTACACTTAAACGAGGGTTAACATTTTTGGCACTCACAGTTAAGAGTTTTGTATTAAAAGAGTAGAAAGACATTGAAATTTATATTAAATAACAAGTGCATGAAAAAATTTTGTGATTTTTATTGAATGTTTCTTATAATCGGGTTGTATTGTATTTCATAAATTACAGAGAGTTAGTAAAATAACAGTAAAAGTCCTAATAAAAATTAATGTTATTATATTTCAATTAATTTAATAACATTAATTTTTTATCAGACTTTTATTGTTATTTTGTATTTTTATTATCTAATTCACACTTTCTTTGCCACACTATTTCTTCTTTTAATCAATAGTGTTAATATAAACTTAGGTTGTAACAATATTTTGCAAAAGATTTTACAAAGAGAGCAGAAAATATCTCGATTATTACATGTTTCTTTTAAAATAAAACTAAAATTTTCTCAATTAATTAACGTTTTTTAGGGAAAATTTACGGGAATTCAGGAATTCAACAAATTCTTAAAATATAGTTAGAGGAAAATAATTTTATTAAAATTTTCAGTTTTATGAAAACATCTTTAACTGAAATTTTGCTCGATAGATGAAACGATTTTTTAACATATGATAAAAAATTCCAACGAATTATACAATTTGAGTACTACTTTGTGCCTATATCGATTAATATATTATAAATAGACAATCAAATCAAATGTTAATATTAAAAATTAAACAGTAGCAAAATTAATTTAAATTAATTCATGTATGAGTCGGCATTTTTGCTAAATTAAATTTAGGATTTTCGAATATTTTTTTTCATTTTTACCTTTACAATGAATATAAGGCTGCTGTTTGATATTATAGATAGAGTGTGCCTCACTTTCTCAAATCATTGTATTTTAAATTGGCAGATGACTAGCCTGCCCTAGTTTTGTTTTACATCAAATATTTGAAGCTATTGGATATTTCTTTATTTTTGAATATCGAACATTTTAGAAAAATTTTCAGAAATTTATTGAATATTTCTTTCTTTTTTCAAAGTTAAAGATGATATTTTAATAATAAAACAATATATTATCTCATTATAGCGTATCTAATTATTGCGGATTTTCTGCTTAAATTATCATTACTTTGTTTTTCATAAGAAATTGTAATTATAATTAAGAATTTTCAAAGCAGCACAATTAAAACTATTATTTTCCAAATGTAGACAGTCATTTTTAATATTTCTTTTAATTTCAAAAAATTTAATATTTTCTATTTTCAATATGATAATAATGACATATAACTAGAATTAAAGAAATAATAAATTTTTATTAAGCGATCACAATAATATGCAATATTTGCATATTTATAGGGGTACAATAATTTAAAAGCATAATGAAATTTTTTCTTTATTCAACTTACCAATATAATTAAATAATAATAATCCTAGTAATAATGAACATTTAAGATCTAAATTTGAATAAGGTAACCATCTTAATCCTTTAAGTACTGCAAAATTTATTGTTAAACTGGTCATCATGAGCATATATTCGATGATTGCATAATTCGTAAATTGGAAATATGATATTTTCGAAAAGTTTTACGAAATTCTCTAGATTATGTTTAATTTATAAATGGATTCGTTCCATGAAATAGTTTTATTTTTTTTTAGTTCTGAAATTAAAAAAGATGTACAAATATTTTTTATGAGTGTACCTACATAAATAACTTTGGTAATTGTATGTAGTATTGTTATATTACTGAATATTAACACTGTTTGTTAAGTGTATGTGCAATATTGTATGTGTTTTGTAGTGAAATAAAATGAAATTTGTTAAAGAAAAAAATTTTTATATTTTACAAGTTTCCACACTTTTTTTTTTTATTTGACAATAAAACTTTAAAAGTTTTCACGAGAGAAAGTAAAACAAATTTTTCTTTCTTTTTGTTTACGTATGTGATAGTTATGAATTTTACTTTTGAGAATGTGTTACAAAATGGCAAAAAAAAAAATTTATAACTTTGTGCAATTTATATAATATTCTTCATAAAATATTTTATACAAATATACAAATTTTTTGTGTCATACTAATATTTTACGTGTTGGATATATATATATTGTTGATTACTGTAAGCCGCCTTAAATTCAGACAGTTTTAAGAAGTATTAGTTTCCACATCAATTAATAAAAAATGATTTAATAAAATTTTGTAATTTAGTGTTATAAATATGAAAGTGGCCTGTAAAATTTTTAACGTCAAATTATTCCTATGTGAAGATGATACTGTATCATTGTGAGCTCTACACTTCGATCTTTATTAAAATATTTTACTTTATTTTGATCTAATAAGCTAATAATAATATAATAATTTCAGAATTTGTAAGTCTGGCCGTTTTCGGAAAACTCTTGTTAAAAACTGAAAAAAAAAACGGTTAAAATAGGGGATAATTTGACATTTTGGTATTTTTTCGACACTTTTTTGAATAATTTCTACAAATTTTCTGAATTTATGTAATTCAAAAGTTCCATAATTTTTGACACAATAAGCTTTTAAAAAAGGTAGGGTTACAATTTGAAAAATGGAAAAGATAACTTTGTCTAATGAAAAAAGTAATGTTTTTTTTAGTTTTTCAGAAATTTAGAGAAAAAGAAAAATTAAATGACTCGGAACGGTCTTGCTCAGCATTGAATTTTGATGAGATTTGGTTGTCTATTTTTGTCTGTCCATCCGTCTCTTTCTGATTAAATAATATATGTAAATCAAGAAATTTCGAGTTTTGAAATATAGTTACTGTCCGTTTAATAATCTCGTCGAATTAAACATTATCTCTCATACAAATTACTAATATTTCAAAAATTTAAAGGGCAACATACGTCGCTCAAAATTAACCTGAATAAATTTTGTAATTGAATAATTTTTCTAACAAAATGATAACAGGACCTTAATGAGTACTTTCGTCAGTAGCACTTTTTAAAAATCTCTGTTCGCTTGGCAGTGAGTTTTATTATATTTGTATAAAACTTTTTATTAAAATTGAACTTTTTTATATTAACTTATTTATTTAGTTGATTGTGTACGTATAAGTATATTTCTTCATATTAGTACCAAGTTCTAAACAAAAGGTTCTGAAGAAATGCAACATTGTAATGAAGTATCAATATTCTAAAGTGGTTGGTATTCATTATAGTTTAAAAAAATAAAAAAATTTCTATATTCAAAGATACGTTATACTGCTGCGCTCTGCTTCAAAGTTTTATACAAAGGCAATCTGTTTTCAAAGTTAATTAAATTTTTCCACTCTGCAATATTTTACGGGTACGAAAATATGTTTGTAGGGTATTATAAATTTATCGCCTAGTTTGTAACAGTGAGAAATATCGGCCAGAGATGCAGACGGGTACATACATATATTCTTCTTTAATGTTGAATTTTGAGTCGATTTAGCAATGTGCAAGCTATGCATGTCCTTATATATAATTTAGCTTAGCTAACAAAACTTTTAATAATGGTTTGTGATAGTAAATGGCAGAACGCTATGTAAATTGAATATATATTGAAACTATACAGCATTAAAATTTCGCATAAATAAATATTGTAATGAGGTCGTTTTTTTGTTAAATTTTGTTAAGATTGCTTGAGTTGCTGTACCCTACCACTTCAAAAGTTATTTGAGCATATTTTAGAAATTATCCAGGTACTGCAATGGGTATAACGAACTCTAAGTGAAGAATAAATTAGTTATACAAAGAATAATAGGGGTCTGGGCATGGGCGAATCGGGTAGGCATTGACTGGTCGCTGACCCAACGGTTTAACAGTTCGATTCCTAGCCAAAGGCATACTATATCTCTCTGCGGTGGCACCTGGAAACTTATTTTACAACACCTGTTATGAATTAAATCTAAAATTGTAAGTGCTAGGCAAGATAGGGTAAAAAAAATCCTTTCGAGCGAGGTCAGCAACCTACTTGATAGTAAAAAAACGCTCGGAGCAAAGATTAAAAGAAAAAATCGGATGAAAATAGATTGAATTACGATAAAGACATGGCAAGAACAAGTTTTAAATTAATTTGGATCTTTGCTCACTTTGCCAATTATTATACCATTCTAAGAGTCATTCATTCGTGAGGGTATCACAGAGTTGACACTGTCAACTCAACCTATTCTCGTTTCTTTATAAAAATATTATAATTTTAATTATGATGCAATTTTAATTTAATTAAATTATGATTAAATTTATCCCGAATTTCATGAAACCAATATTCAATGTGTAACTACAAACTACATGTGTTGTATGAGCAGAATGAGAATTATTAAAAAATAATGGAATGAAGCCAAAAATTTTAATATCGGTTGTGTTTTTATGTGCTCTATATGGAGTAATAGAATAATTTCATACACATAATCATAGGGTAACATATAATGTGTTATACAATTTATTATATGTAATTATTGTGCTTATTTCCAGCTAAGGTAATAATAATTGTCTATATGGATATGTTTACATATAATACATTGTGTATATACATGTGTAAGCAATCGTATATAGAGTGTTATTAAAAAACCCTATATGTAAATTAATTTTGTGTGTACATATGTAGGTATATTGATATAGAAAAATTTTTCTCTACAATAATAATTTTAAGTAATTTCTTACAAAAAACAAAAAATAAATATAATAAAATAAGAATCTGGTTCAAAGAGAAAAGCTCATTATTGATGATGTCGTATAAGAGACTGCAACAATATGAAAATTTTCTAATAACAATTAAATATTTTATATTAATTTTAATTTTTAAAATAATGTTTTTCAATATTATAGAAGTATACAATAAACCCATTATAATTGCAAATTGAAAAAATATTGGTTTTTGGGATCAATGAACTTATGCAATATATATTTGCTTTTATTTTTTTTCTTCTACATTCTATGGTTCTTGAATTTTATTGGAGGTCTTTGATTCAAATAATTTAATTTGCTTAATTATTAAGAATTGGAAAAGATCTTGTTTTCGTATGTAAAGAATATTCTTTTGCTGTTTGGGTTTTCAGGTTTTACTTAGATACTTTTGATATCTCATATATGGTTTATCTAATTTATGCAAATGTGTTTGGTATAAGAAATTTTAGTATTTCCTGAAAACGGTCTTGGAAGTCTGTAAATTGTATACATAACGCATATTGCAGGCAAACTCGATTTTTGGTTCGAATAGAAACCTGCAGTTCTAAACCCACGCTCCATGACTGTTGTTTGCCTTCGCTTGATTTAAAGGGACGGATTTGGTAATTCAATACTACAATTGTCGAATATAAAAAATGACAAGACATATAACTTAGAAGATTCAAACATGTACTACAACCATGCCACTGATTTTAATTGTTATACACAATCAATTACAGTATTTTAGTTACAGTTAATATATTTCAAAACTCATTATGTCTGAAAATATGAAATTTTTCCATTGAAATTTCTTAAGTATAACATTAATGATTTTAAAAAATTCCTGAAACAATTTACAAATCTTTCAGGAATAACAAAAACAAAAAAAAAATTAATAATTTTTTTTTATTACCAACAAATCCTTTAAGTAAGTCTTTGGCAGTCTTACAAAGGCTTTTTTCCACTTTGTAAATTAATTTCTAGGTTTTACGTTTATCCTTGAAGTTGTTTGAGTTTCGTTTTTTCTATTAACTAAAACAAAAACCCATAAATGTAATGAAAACAATTTTTAAAATGTTTAAACTATATAATATTTCTATATGTACACACTTACATACATACATAATATATGTATGTATATAGTAAGAGAAAAATTAATTTTTTTACTGAAACAAGGCATTTACTAAACTATACACATATAGGTATGAGAATGATTCATTGAAAAATATTAAATAGTATTTTGTTTGAACGTTAAACAAATAAAACTAAATAGAGAAAAAAAACTAAATGGAGAAAAAAAGTATTTAAGTAAACTAAAGTGAATAAAAGAAATTAACAAATCTAAAATAGAGACATTTCTAATTTGCAGGATAAAGGAAACTTTTAATATTGATTATACAATTTTTTTTAAAAAGAATAAAAGTTTTATAATTCATTTTTGTTTTTTATATTCTAGACTTTAATTATTTGATGGAAAGGTAGAAAGAGTGTCTTGTAAAATGAAAGGAAATCTGTGTAATCGTGGAAGGTAAACTTTTTCTAAAATTCTAAAAATAAAAATATTCTAAAATAAAAATTTTTCAAACTGAAGTAAAATGTTTGATATTAAACGGAAAAAATATAACAAATTTATTACTTTCCAATATGATCGTAAGAGGGGCTGCCATGTTTTTCTTTCCATTGAGGGTCTCTGTGTAACAATGCAAATTATCAGAATACCAGAGCTATTTGTATAAATTTATTTGAGATATTTGTATAAATTTAGGACAGACACTGTTGTTGTCTTATGTTTAAAAAATATGAAACGATATATTTGCCTGGACTAAAATATGCTCGACTTAAATCCAAGGGCGTAATTTAAACGTAATTCATTCATTTGACATACATATTTTTAAAAAAGTCTGATATACATTTGTAAAAAGTAACCACCAAATATTTATTTAAGAAAGTTAACATTGTAATCATCTGTAATTTTTAGCACTTTTTCGAAACAATTTTGAAAAAAAGTGCTTAT